TTGATTTAAGTGCTGTGACATGCAGATCAATGGATGCAGCAACACTTACTGGAATCTGGCCTTTGTTGTTTCTAAACGTCATTTTATCGAAGTTAACTACACACTTCCTTGGTAGTAAATAGTCCAATCCTAATACGCATTGGTCTTCAATGTCAGCCACGTATACTTTCTGCCTGTTCTTCATGCCCATGAGCTCAATAGTTACCCAAACTGGTCTCCACAACCTTACATAATGTCCTGTCACACCACAGAGCTTCTGTACAGCTTCTGGTACTCCTTTGTGATCCAGCATTTTGATACTCACAAGGGTTTGCTGAGATGCTGAATCTATGACAAAGTTGCACCTTTGGCCATCCAGCTTCCCTGTAACGTAGACACTATGTGTGCTTGCCATTTTACACTTAGCTGTTGGGACTTTCACGATAGGGGTTGGTGAGCGTCCCTCAGCACCAATCACTACTAGTTTCCCGAAGCTGACTTATTGGTGGTATTCTTCTTACACTGGCTTCTCATATGTCCTTGCTCTCCACAGTTCCAACAGCCTTTCCTGCTGTATCATCTCCCTTGTGTTGAAGTTGCCAGCATTGAGCTCTCTTGTGCTCAAGTTTGTTACAGTGCCAGCAAAGTCCCTCAAACTTCTCTGAAAGCTGACCTTTTCTGCCCTTGAATCCAGATGACTGTACAAACCTTGGTACCTCTGTGCTGGACTTAACGTAGAATTCAAATTCAAGAGCTCTGGCCATTGCATCCTGCACGGTAGAGGGGTGTGCTTACTTCAATTGTATCTTTAGTTGTGGACTGTCCAAGGCATCTACAAACTGATCCCTCAGCAACAACTTGAGGGGATCGGGTGGTGCAGTTGGGTAGGCTTTGTGTGCCATACTTTCCAAGTCCTGTGCCAGCTCTTGCAGGCTTTCCCCATTAGCATGGACTCTCGTCTTAAACCTAGCCCTGTAGACTTCTGACTGATTTTGGGTTCCGTACCTGAGTTCTAGAGCCACTACCAGTGCTGTATAGTTGTGTCTGTCATCTGCTGACAACTGTCCAAGTATTTCCAGTGGTTGGCCCTTCAAGCTCGTTGCCAGATATACTGCTTTCTGCCCCTCTGTCCATCCATTCATTTCTCCCAGTAGCTCAAATTGTGCTCTATATGCTTCTCATGGCCCCTTCCCATCATATTCCTGTGGCTACCTTCGTACTGGATCACTCCTAGTACTGACATTCATATCTGGGATGTGACTTCTAACAGGACTGAAGATGTCTGCATTAGGGTTTAGCTGCAAGGTCTGGAAGGGGCTTGTCATTGTCTGGGGCTTATTAAGTCAATGGTTAATGTATTCTCCTTGTGTAAAAGACAATAAATCGTCCTTTAATGTATCTAATTCGCTTTTAAATTTACTAATGTTTTCCATTTGCAATTCTTGTTCCAGTTGCCACTGCTGTAGTCTCTCTTCTTGTTTCTTTTCTCGTTCTTGTTGTTTCTTTTCTTTTTCCTCCAAGAACTGCTGTAATTTCTTTTCTTGTTTATTTTCTTTCTCCTCCAACCACTGCTGTAGTCTCTCTTCTTGTTTATTTTCTTTCTCCTCCAACCACTGCTGTAATCTCTCTTGTTTATTTTGTTGTTTGAGCTGCCACTGTTGCAGGTTTTCTTGCCACTGCTGTTGTCTCTCTTCTTGTTTCTTTTCTTTTTCCTCCAGTAACTGTTGTAATCTCTCTTCTTGTTTCTTTTTTTCCTCCAACAACTGCTGTAATCTATCTTCTTGTTTATTTTGCTGTTCGAGCTGCCACTGTTGCAGGTTTTCTTGCAAATGCTGTAATCTCTCTTCTTGTTTCTTTTCTCGTTCTTCTTGTTTCTTTTGCTGTTCTTGTATTGCTGCCATCAAATCTGCTAAGGTGTAGTTTGATTTGCCACTTCTCGTTTCCATCTTCTTTTTCTTTTTTTTTCCAATCCCACTTCTGACACCAATTTGTTACGTCTCTGGTCATTTGTTAATTTCCAGTATAAATTCTTCTCGAGCAACTTCAGCGATACAAGTCCTTTCTGAAATAAAACTAGTTTATTCTTTCTCAATACAACTTTGCAATACACAGAAATTCCATGGTCACTTTAACTTAAACACACGCTATAATTCACTACGATTCACGCACTTTACTTAGGGTCACAACCGCTCACTTGACTCAATTATCTGTCTCTATATCTCTCTATCTGC